GAGATACCATCTCACACCAGTTAGAATGGCAATCATTAAAAAGTCAGGAAACAACAGATGCTGGAGAGGATGTGGAGAAATAGGAACACTTTTACACTATTGGTAGGAGTGTAAACTAGTTCAACCATTGTAGAAGACAGTGTGGTGACTCCTCAAGGATCTAGAACTAGAAATACCATTTGACCCGGCAATCCCATTACTGGATATATATCCAAAGGATTATAAATCATGCTACTATAAAGACACATGCACACATACGTTTATTGCGGCACTATTCACAATAGCAAAGATGTGCAACCAACCCAAATTTCCATCAATGACAGACTGCATTAAGAAAATGTGTTACATATACACCATGGAATACTATGCAGCAGCCATAAAAAAGGATGAGTTCATGTCCTTTGCAGGGACATGGAAGCTGGAAACCATCATTCTCGGCAAACTATCACAAGGACAAAAAACCAAACACTGCATGTTCTCACTCATAGGTGGGAACTGAACAATGAGAACACTTGGACACAGGGCGGGGAACGTCACACACCACACCCTGTTAGGGGTGGGAGGCTGGGGGAGAGATGGCATTAGGAGAAATACCTAATGTAAATGATGAGTTGGTGGGTGCAGCAAACCAACATGACACATGTATACCTATGTATCAAAACTGCATGTTGTGCACATGTACCCTAGAACTTAAAAGTATAATAAAAAAACAAATAAATAAAAAGCTATAACCTGATATGAACAGTTTACATACAATTAATTTGGCACAATTTAAAAACCAGTATCGTAGGTAGCATTAAAGATTTGAATTCAGAATGAGAAATATATTTATCCTTTATTCACTGACTTGAAAGACTGTACTTCTTTCACTTACTCTGTTCTCTTTTAATAGATGAAAACAAAAGGAAAAGAGAACTCGCTATGAGGACCTACGTTTTGGCTGTGACATCCACATACTGTCCTGGACGAAAGTGAGCAGCATAAAGAGGAGTGCCTTTAAGAAAAAAAAATGAAAAATCAATATGAAATTTGACAGCACAGAAACAACTTTATGCAACATAAACTATATCCAGGAAGGCTTCGAGCTATCTGATTTCAAAATGGTAAGAGATTCTCTTCTGCAATTAGAAACATCCAAACAATGAAATTATTCAACAAACGTGTCTTTTGACTGACTTCACAGAGACCAAAAGTGGTGCTGTTTGAAATGAGAGATCCCGATGACAACACAGTGTTCTTGCTGTCAAACACATAAATTTGATGATTCTTGGTTGTTTTAGTGAATAGTATATTAAATTAAGATATATTTCTTGTTTTCACATTGGGAAAACAAAAACAAGAATAACTAAAAATTGTTGGGGCTTCATTAAATATCTTGTACCCACTGGACAAACAGGAAACAATTACTTGAACCCAAGTCCCTCATATCGTGGGTATGTATGACATCTATATAAAGCCTCTACATATCATATTTTAGGTGAACTCCTCATTGTACCAATAAAATACAGTTCTCCAGTTCATGCTTAGATATTTAGAATAGCAAAAAATTGCCTTTATAGATACTCTTAATTTTATATAGAAATGTTTACAAAACCAGTTGTATGTAAATAAAGTCTTACTTTAAATGTACTTCAGAAATGTTATTTAAAAAGTTTTTAAATTTTGTGATGAATCAAAGCCCTTCATAATATTGTTTACATAAACCTGAAACTAACATTTATGAGAACTATTTGGCAATTAATTAGCAAACATTTACAGGGCACTTACAAATACGTGCAGCTAGAAATTCAAGAATGTAAGACACTGCCCCTGACAGCAAGACATTTATTAATCTTGGTGAAGAATAAACATTAACATCATCAAGTAAGATACACTTTTTTAAATGGCAGAAACCACTGTAGTAGAGAATGTGACTGAAAGTTGATTATAGTTATAGTTTATTTAATACAAGCAGCAAAGTGCTGTACGATTTCGGGGGGGACCTCCTTTAAGTTACAACCCAACCTGGATTTATATAGGCAGAGAAAAACGTTGAATGAAGAAAATAGAGATTTAATCATTCCACACTGTCTACATACTATCAAAACATCACACTGCACCCCATAAATGTATATAATTATGATGTCAATCAAAATAGTATTAATTTTTTAAAAAGAAATTAAAAGTGACCTTTATGAGGTTGAACTGCTGATTTTTGACCATTTGGATCCCAAAAAACAATTTTATATGATTTGAGCTACAGCAAAAGTTAATGTGGGCTTAATTTTATCTTTATTAGAGTTTAAGAAAGTCAGATGTGTTAATACCAAAGAGAATATTAAAAAGTGCTTCAGAACTGTCTATACAAGTATTTTAGAACTATCCCTTTATATTTAAAGTAGTTCCATTATAAACCATTCTAATACACAATGACCCAAGTACTTCTACTAATTTTTATATTTAATTCCATTTACCTTGCCTTAAAATTGCAAAATTTTAACTTCAAAGAATACTTTTAATTCTACCTTATATCAAGGCTGACCCCGTCACACCAATAAAAGCCTACTGCATCTGTATTTTACTTAAAGCAGTTTAGTTCAGACATTAAATACCAAATCTTAAAACAGCATTCTACTGTCTTCTTGTCAGAACTCAAGTTCAGAGATCAGGGAGCTTTTCTGAAGTTCAGACATCAAAATGTTGTATTTTGCTAACCATATGAGCCAATATAATCATATGCCAAATCTTTACTCTGACATTTCATGGATTAGGCAAAATATCTTGGAATTTTTAAGTAAGAATCTTTACATTGAGGTGCTATGGTCAGTCCCTTCCATTGTTGTATTTTCTCCAGTTCTTCTATCGAAGCAAGAGCCTGGCTATTTTTCATGAATGCCAGTCTATGACCAATGATCTTTGAATTTTAAAAGTTACTGTATTTCTTTGAGGTGGCTTTTTCAAATGTTAAACTCTCTCTATATTAAAAACAAAAGTGTTCCTCCCTCTCTCACGCAAAGCAAAGAGTTCTCTACAGGTTTTTCCACTTTAAAAAAAAAAAAAAGGCTTGTTTGTTCCTCGTGATTAAATCAGATACAGTTTTGTATTTAAAAGTAAGTGAGACTTTGCATTTTAGATGTAGCTTTATTGAAAGGGCTGACATTAAACAAATTGCATATTTGGGTATTTTTACCTCCCTCCTCTCCCCGACCTCAAATTACCTGGTTTAATTGCAGCATTATCTGTTATATTAAAGATTTTAACTGTCTGTTTTGGCGGCAATCCAAGTTCTCGGTAAAATTCCAATACGGGTGTAGCTTTCTAGACGAAAAACAGCACATATAAGTAATACATTGAATACTCAAAGTGGAACTGAATGCATAGAGATCTAAACCAAGTTATTAGCACCCCAGAAAATAAATCAAAGCATACCTTATTCCTTAATGAACAAAGGGCACCCAATTCCCCTTATTTAAGGGAGGTGAGATTTATAGCTATATTTTATCACATCTCTGTGAATAATCTCACTACTTAAGATTACAACCATGTACATAGTGTTCACATATAGTACACTGGGAAAGACCTCTGTTCTGCAGGAAAATAAAGAGTTGTGCTCATTTTTAAATTCTGACCAGAGACTGTCTGAATTAAGAACCCAAACCCCGAAAAATCAACTCTCTGCCTATTCTGCACTTATTCTGAACTTGAAGAAAACACAGTATGTTACATTTAAATGTTTTGACCACAAACTTCAGAATCTTAAATGTGGCCAGGTTATATCTACAGATACCTAAACATCTCTGGTTAAATCATTTTCACACTCTATAAGGAAACTAAGTCACATCCTTTTCTAAAATCCTCACCACTGTTTCCTCTTCCTCCCTTTGAGCTGATCAAATAAAAGAATCAAGAGAACTTCTCCATGCTCTTACCAAATCAAATTGTCTATACCAGTACTTGTATATTAACAGTAGTATCCTCCCACTCCACTCTAGGTTACCCATGAGATGCACATGGAGAGCTTCTAGAAAATGCCAATGGCAAGGGCCCTCTGCTTAGAGATTGTAACTTCACTGTCTAGTGCGGGGTCTAGGCATTGCTAATTTTCAAGCACCTCACGTGATTTCTATGTCAAATTGGGGCTGGAAATCATGCTGATAGATAAGCTGTCCATATTTTTATTAAAAGCAACAATTCCCACCCCTTCGTACCTATTCAATGGTTCCCTCCTGAAACTGTCCCCACTCTCTTATAAGAAATCTTCATTTTTCTCCCCGTTCTACTGGACCTTCCTATCACTATATATAACATGTCACAATAATTCACATATTAAAACAAACTTTTTCTTGACCACATATTCTTTAGCTAATTTTTCTGTTCCCCCTTACAGCAAAGCTCCTGGAAAGACTTGCCAAGTCTACTTTCTCTCCTCCCATTCTGTGAACCCAGTTTAATCAGGCGCTTTCAGCCCCTAGAACTCAATGGAAAGTGCTTGTCATTCACCAAGGATCTCCATACAGTCAACCACACTGGTTGATACTCATTTTACTGAATCTACCAGCAATGCTTAACACAGGTGACCACTCTCTCCACAAAAGACTTGCTTCCAGTTACTACTCCCTCGATTCTCATATATGTGAATGACTGCACATTTCTAACTTCAATTCCAAATTTTACTCTGAACTATAAATTCCTATGTCCAACTGCCAAGCCATTATCTCCACTTCAATGTCATATAGAAACTCAAGCTTAACGTGTCTAAAATTGAACTCCCTTAACCAAGCCTGCCCTTCCCTGGCCTTTGTCCAAATCTCAATAAAAAAGGTAACTCCCACAATGCTGCTGTTTAGGCCAAAAATCTTATAGTCACCCTTGATTCTTTTCTTCTTCCCATTTCATGTCCCATTCATCAGCAATTCCTCCAGACTATTTAAAAATACAGCCCACACCAACCACTTACCACCCCATCCCAACGTCAACCTCATCCACTATCTTCTGCCTGGATTATTTCAATAGCCTCCTAACTGGTCTCCAACCTTCCACACTCCTGACTCTCTAGTCTGTTTTCAATTCACAGGCTGGCATTATCATTTTAAAACTCAAGCCATATCATATATCTACAGTGGCTTCTACTTCTTGTAGAATCCAGTCCTAAATCCTTACCATGGTTTAAAAGGTTCTACACAATCTGACCTCATCTTTTACTCTCCTCCTGACTCAGCCTGCTTCAGAAAAAAATGCACTCCCTTATTGGCCCAAGAACACATTACACACTGGCCTCAAGACCTTTGCACATCCTATTGCCTCTGTCTACAATGCTTTTCTGTCATATTTTTGCATGACTGGCTCCCTTACTTATTCAGGTATCGATAAGAATATCAACTTACCCTGTCTAATTACTCAATCTGAAATAGCACCATTTTTTGTCACTTATCAACCCCTCAGCCTACTTTTATTTTATTAAAGTATATTATTTTCATTAATACCAGTTATTTAAGCATACCAGGAAGCTTTCGAGAAAAATCCTTTACATTTTTAGTATTATCCTTCAAAGCATTTATCTCCATGTGTCATGATACACATTTTTTACTGTTTCTATGTCTTCTATGATAGCAGTACCTAACCTTTTCGGTACCAGGGACTGGTTTCACGGAAGACCATTTTTCCACAGACCAGTGGAGGCAGCAGGAGGGACGGTTTCAGAATGAAAACTGTTCCACCTCAGATTATCAGGCATTAGAGTCTCATAAGGAGCTTGCAACCTAAATCCCTCACATGCACAACTCACAAGAGGTTTCGTGCTCCGTAAGAATCTAATGCTGCCACTGATCTGACTGACAGGAGGTAGAGCACAGGTGGTAACTAAGGCTCACTCTCCTGCCGTTTACCTCCTGCTGTGCAGTCCAGTTCCTAACAGGCCACAGAGCAGTCCACAGTCCGGGGGTTGGGGATCCCTGTTCTATATAAGGGCCTCCCCATTTCACCCCCAAACCTACCCAAATGTAAGCTTCCTGAAAGCGGAGACTTGCTTTAGTTGCTGCTATATCCCCAGCTCCTGGTAGATCCTGCTGTCTGCTCTCCACTCCTGCCTTCTGTCCTGCTATTGTAAACATCACTACAACCAGTGTCATTAAAAACAAAACCTATGGGCACCTTATTTTCTTATAATTCCTGGGTCTTCCTCCCAACCTTAATTCTTAAGACTCGATATAGATTGCTATAGGACTTGACAAAAAAGTTATGCCACTTTTTATTTCTTGATGTGAAGAGGGCCTCTTTCATCACAATATATAACATAGTACATCTATTTTCCTGCTGTTCCCTCTCCCTCAACTTTCTAACCATAAATGAAGACCCTGCAGGTCCCCAATGGCTATTGTACTCTATGTATGCTTACCAGTATCTGTCTGCATCACTCTCTTCAGCTGTGATCTCCCTACCCTAAATCTCTAAAGCTTCAAAGCTGAGGAAGAGCGAACAGCAGGTAGACGTATACGTGTTGGTTTTATTCTGGCGAAGACGCACCCTTCACACTGGGAAATATAAGTACATGTCTCCAGTACTAAATTCAGTTATATTTCCTATCCAGATCCCTCTCTGAGCAGCCTTACCAGAGCACATTGCTCCTTTGTCTATACCAACACTAGACACTGGAATATATTTCAATTATTGTCCATATCACCATACACTTATCTACTCATGTGTTGGTCAGCATGCTGACCTGTGAGCACAGGGATGGTAAACGCTGTTTTTTATTCATCTGTGTCTCTAACTTTACAGCTAAGCACAGTGGCAGGTTAGACAATAAAGAAGTGGGCTAAATGAACAATGAAAAGAAACAGAAGACAAAGGACAGGCATCCATCTGGGTATAAAGTTTGTCTAACTCCTCCCACTTTTCTACTCTTCTGCGGCATCAGTTCTTGGAACACAACGTTACTGTGTTTGTGGCCTCAATCTTCAGGTCTAGTTACTGTAAAAGTATAGGCCTGAAAGATACATCATGACTTGCTCTGAGGATGAACAAATCGGCAAGAAACTACTATAAAACCAAACCAATAGTAACTTATAATTTAAAAAACAAGAATAGCAGCAACTGAAAAACCCTAGTCAACTCAAGATGACACTGATAATAACAAAGTATCCTTCCCTGAAATTTCCATGAAGTGCCTGCATAGTCAGACTTGTTTGTAGAATATGTGAATACTCAGCAAACTTTAGTTACCTGTTCAGTTTAAAATGTAAACCGTTAGTACCCCTTTATAACTTACTCAGTTGCCTATAGCTGACATGAAATTGGGTGGCACTGGCTTGTAAGCACAGAAGTTTAATTTTTGGATCAGTCTACAACTTACCAGGAATCTCCCTGGGGCTCTCCAGTAGAGCCATACAACAAATGTTGAGAAGCTCTACTTTGATGTCCACTGAAGAGTGTTTTATACCTCATAGAGTTCTCTCAAGAAGCTATCCTTTCCTCCACAAGAGTGATACCACAAATTCATTCCAATCATTCTCTATTATTTTATTTCCTACATGCTGAAATTAACACTAACAACCAACACCACTATTATCAAGTACCCTGCTTTTCATCTTCAATCATACTCACTTCTGCAACAAGTACAAACACAAAATTTTCATTTAACAGTATGGCTCCCTGAAATTATTTTCCTGATGTATAAAATTCAGATTTATTAAATTTTAGAATCAAGTTTATTTTTGACATTCACATATTCCACATGATTTTAAAAGTGTATTATTTTGTTAATATCAGTTTTTTAAGCATACCTGGAAGTTTCTGAGGAAAATCATTTACTATTTTAGTAATACAAAACAGACAATATAAACATCTCAAACTAAGTAACTTTTTAGACTAAACCATAAATAGAATCAAGGTAAAACATACTTCTTGATTATCATCCAATTTCACTAATAAACACTTTTTTATTTTAAAATCAAAAATCAAAATATTATAAAATTAGGTCTCAGTCAGGAGGAAAATTAAATGCTCAAGTAGACTTAAAACCAGAAGCAGTGTGAAAGACTTTTTTTTTTTCAAACTTCTAAATAAGTAAATGATTTCAAAAGGCAATTTAAAAGACTGACAGTATTGTCACACTTGGATAATCCCATCTATGAGGTTGCATTCTTTTCCCCCACTTCAAAGTTCTCTGCAATTATCCTTCCCACAATGAAAATACCTCTCCTCCTAAGACGAATTGATTTAATCAATGTTGAAGGCCATTTAACTTCCTCATTCAAAAACACTATGTACCACATCAGTTTTTATTTATAATAAGGTACAAAATAAAAAGGCAACGTAGTCTAATTTCTTGGAGGCATAAATTCTTTACAGATGAAAACAGTTCTAACATTATTATAAATAAAAGTGATTTAATTAATTTCCAAATGTTTAGATGTATGAAATTCTATATTCATAGGTCTTCGTTTTTTAAAAAATCCTCTAAAATCAATCTATTTGCAATTTTTCTTGAGAGCTACAATATGAAGTCTGTATACCTTTAGTTTCAAAAATCTTTGTTTTCAAACAAAAATGCTGTATTTACAAATAATTCTAAAACTTCATTTTCACATTTCATTTGGAAGAAAGGTCAGTTTATAGACAAAGCTTTTTTCTTGATATTGTAATAAATGTCATCTGGACTTAGAAATTTTGTATCTTGAAGAAATTTTGTATCTTGAAGAAAGAAGCGCCTTTGCAGTACTTTCTATGCTAGAGAAGTGAAGTTTTCAAAGTTTATGTAAATTAAGTGGGTCAAAATCCAGAACATTAGAACATAACATCCAAATCACCCTGCTGTGCTATGTAACCACTGAAGAGAATAAAGCTATCGGAATAAGCTAAAGAGAAAAAAATGTGTGAACAGCCTTGACTATGAAATGCAGTACCTATCATTTCTGTAATATTTTTAATTATTAGTACTGTTACAGTTAATACTATTAGTATTACTTTCATAAAATTTTGATTATAACACATCTTCATCACTAAGTAAAATAGAATAAACTGAGCTCCCATGTACTTTTTTCCTCCAAACTTTTTTTTTCTTGAGAAGTAAAATATTCTGAGAACCAATGTGAGACTTTCAGAACTGGAAGAGAATTTAGAGACCATCAAGTACTATTCCTTGTTTTTATGGGTAAGAAAACAGATGTTCAAAAGGTGAGTAAGGGGAACCTAAAGGTAGAAATCAGGATTAGAACTCAACTCTTCTGATCCCACATCACTTACTCTCTCGCCACCTCATATTTCAGGGGAAACAATCTTCACAGACCTGCTGGGGCAGAAGGGATTACCCTAACATGCTTGATTCACAAATATCAAGGCCATGAAGTCATCAATTTACAAAACTCGTAATGAAAATGAAGATGATGATGCTAGTCATTACAAAAACCCAGAAGTACAATCAAGTAGAAAACAGTGGCATCTATCAAACCAAAGATTTACTCATATGAAGGCTGGTACATATTAATACATTTTTAAAAAGTCAAACACTTGATTTTTTAAAAAAGTTCCCATAAATACCTCATTGTACGCTATAATTACTATGGAGTTATTTGAAGCCCGAATCTGTTAGTCAATAAATTGTTAAGAATAGCAGGAGAGATATTATTACAAAGTTGTAAAGAAAAATAAATGGTCTATGCTACCATAATACTCAAAAATAGCTAATTTCTCTAACACGAAAAAAAATAAACCATGTCACAGATTTCAATGATATCCACCACCACTTATTGACTAATCAGTATTTCTCACCATTTATAGAACTATGATTTTGTGAACATCTCAAACATCTCTTTCCTCCAAAGCTTCCCTTTCCTTGTTCCTATCCCAGAGTATGTCATCAGCACTGACCTAGCTGTGTCCTCCCACCCAGTCCTTTCCAATTCCTGCCCCTTCCAATCTCAATGCAACTGCCTTGCTTCTAAGGGCTCTTATCAACTCTCCCCTGATCTCTTAAAACAATCTCCTAAAGTCTTTCCTCCTGCTAGATTTTTAAAATCTTAGATAACTAATTTAACAATTTGAACAAGTTACCTAAAGAATTCAGAAAGCACCTCAAAGTCCATAAGATGAAGTCTAAACCTCACACTACCTTGATAGCTGCAGCTTCACCACCCTCCCGACACTGGCCTGGCCTGCACACTAAAATGCAGCCACATTACACTTCTCTTCCCAAGAACACATGCTCTTCCATGTTGTCTCTGCATCTGCAGAGGCCATTCTTTCTGGAATGCCTCTAACACCTATTTTCCTTTCTATTCTCCTCCTTGTGAAACCTCCTGGGATTTTCCCTGGCAGAATTGGCTGTCTCTGGTTCTGTGCTCCTTGGATTTATAATATTGTACTGAGATGGCTGGTTTATTTGTATAACTTCCTCACTAGCTTATGCGCTCCCAGGGGGTAGATATCAAGACACACTTAAATAAGGCTCTGGAGTCTGCCACTCTACCTCTTACCAGTGGGTGACTTTGAATGAGTTAGTTAACTGCGTTAGCCTCAGAGGCTAAAAAGTTTACATAAAGTAACAAATGAAAAAGGCGTAATGCTTATGCATGTGGCATGTAATAAATGTTCAATAAAAGTTAACTATGATAAGAAAATAGAGTAGTTAGTAGGCACACAATAAACAACTGATAGTTTTGAGAGTCAGAGATTATAGGTTGTATCCTAACTTCTGCCTTGTTCATTTCATAAACAATTTACAATGGAAAAAAAGTTTGTCTTAGAGATAAGTAATATGTTCTAGCAAACCTAAACATGTTTAGTGAAAGCCATCACCATTTTGAGAAAGGTTTTCTGGTTTTAGTTATTCAATACAGATACTCACTAGGCAGTTTTCCAAACTACAAACTCAGTACTCTACTTAAAACAAAAAAATGTTTTATTAAAAAAATGTGATTTGGGTTCTTATATAGCTTTCTCCTAAACACTGAAAGCTCCTTCTAGAATACACAAAATTAATTTCCACGTGCTCCTGGTGTCAAGTGTTAAGACAACTTTCCATAGGAAGAAAGTGAAATGAAACATAAAACAATAACAAAATAACGAAATCTACTGAGTGTCTGTTATATTCCAGGCACATTTGAAAAACCTAATTTAATCCATGTGATAAACCTATTAGGTAAGTAGTATTTTTATTCCCATTGTACAGATACACAAACACTACAGCTTACAGAGGTAAAAGTACTTGTTCCAGATACAGGGGGAGGTATTAGAACAAACTCAAGAGTCTCCAAGACTCCTGGGCAAAATGGTTGTACCAGACTGCCTCCCCCAAATACACAACTTTCCTCACAAACAAATGCAAGTTTGTGGCTGTGGAACAATCTCAAAACACAAACTCATCCAGATTTGAAACTGATGAAAAATGCAGTATTCTAGCTATGAAAATACATCCTTACACGAAAACGTGATACAGTTTTTCCTCCTACAGACAGGGCTGCCGTTTTTCCATTATGGTTTTCCTTTGAAGTATACTTTAGGACATGGCAGTCTTGTACCTAAATAAACAAACATAAAAAAACTAAGCATGTGCCAATACATATTTTAACATTGCAAACCAGCCACATTGAGACCTTAGGACAAACAGGAATTCCCTACAGTTACTTACCTCATCTTTCCTCTAACACCAACCACAATCTTAAAAACATAAAATTTTTTAAAAAAAATGATTAAATACACACTTTGGTAGGCCGAGGCAGGCGGATTACGAGGTCAGGAGATCGAGACCATCCTGGCTAACACGGTGAAACCCCATCTCTACTAAAAATACAAAAAATTAGCCAGGCGTGGTGGGGGGCGCCTGTAGTCCCAGCAACTTGGGAGGCTAAAGTAGGAGAATGGCGAGAAGCTGGGAGGCGGAGCTTGCAGTAAGCCAAGATTGCACCACTGCACTCCAGCCTGGGCAACAGAGCGAGACTCCATCTCAAAAAAATAAAAAATAAAATGAGTTTAAACAAAATATACATGCAACCATTACCCAGCTCAAAAGTAGAATCCCAAAAGCCCGTGTGTGTCTCTTCCCAGTCACCTCCTCATCTTTTTACCCTAGAGCAGGAGTACTCGAAAGTATGGTCACCAGCCAAGCAGTGTCAGGATCCCCTGGGAACTTAATACAGATGCAGATTCTCAGGCCTCAATCCAGACCTACTGAATCAGAATCTTTGTGTTTTATAAGACCTCTAAGTGATTCTGAGGTTCACTAAAGTTTGAGAAGCACTGCCCTAGAAATAACTGTTGACATTTATGGTAGCCATTTACTTTTCATTGTAATTACTATTTTGGAAAGTATTGCTTAATAATGTATTTAGATTTGCCTGCTTTAAACTTTATATAAATGGAATCAGATTTTAGGTACTCTTTCATGTCTTACTTCACTTATTTGTAAAGTTCATCTATATTGTGTGTAGCTCTATTCTGTTCACTTTCATTGCTGTACAACATTTCATTATGTGAAAATAACATGATTTGTTTACCTGTTCTACTGTGGACAGATACTTGGGTTATTTCTAGTTTGCTGGGATTAAGTGTGATGATGCTGCTCAAGTTTTCTAGTAATACTTGGAAGCGGAATTGCTAGACTACAAGACTTACCCGTCTTAATTTTGCCACATAATGCTAAAGTGTTTTCCAAAATGGTTTTGTACCAATTTACAATCCCACCAGCCATTCCTGAAAGTCCCCTGCCCCCACCAGTTTCCTCAGAGTTCACAAAACTACTGTCTTATACTTGGTCATTCAGAGCCAATAATAATGAGAAAAGGATCTACAGACTCTTTGTGCCTTATTAGCACTCTAAGCACTTTACATCACCTGTATCATTACTTGCCTAAGACTAAGCCCCAAGGATCAACTGAGTTGTTCAAAGTGATTTGGGGAGTGATGATCACTTACCAGTATCTTTCTATAATAATAATAACAACAACAATAATAATAATGATAAAGACAATAGTAGCTTATAGTGGACACACGACATTGTTTCAAGTGCCTGACATTTATCATCTTGTGCAATCTACACAATAACCCTTTGAGGTAGGTCACAATTATTTCTTTTACAGAATAGATTATCTTTTACAGATGTGGCACAGTGCTCCAAGGAACACACTAGTAAGTGGCAGAATCAGGACTGCAACTCAGGTATTCTGGTCTCAGGACCCACATTCTTACCCATTAGACTACAGCTTATCTTAGTGAACAAAATGCAGCCTCACCAGACAAGAGTATTATATTCTGTTAGCAAAAAGATCAAAACTGTAATTTGGAGTTGAAAGAATTCCATAAAAGAAAACAAAATGGGACTGAGATGTTTTTCCAATTATAAAGTAAACAAGGGGATCTGTAAAAGGATAGGTTATACTTAAAAAAAGAAATTCATTGTTCCGGTTATCCAAATACCAGTATCAGAAGGCCATTGCTCAGGCAAGGGTGAGGGCATTCCTGAAACCACCATAAGTTCTTTAATACTATTTATGTTCAACATTACCCCTTTCTTCACCATACAGTTCCATGTTTCAGGATACAAATAGTTCTTGTTAAGGTTTGCACAAACAGATCTTGAAACACATAGATATCTCTTACACCTTCTGTTTCTTTCTTACCTGAAGTAATGTGACCACGTGCTTTTCACCATCCTTGGTCCATAAAGGCATCATGCCCAGTTTCAAGGCAATAAGGCCAACTCTAAAGGAACCTGGCAATTAAAACCAAAGCAATGTGAATTAAAGCTTTTGCAACGCTCGCCAACATGATGAAATCGTTTTTCCTAAAGTCAGGTTTCAGTATGAGGAGCAGGCACAAAAGAAATATGCCAATATATTCAGAGTAAAATAGGACTGTTCTTTACAGACCTAAGTGCCTTCAACCATGCCTGGCATGACATATTGGTGCTCAATAAATATTTGTAAAATGAACAAACATAAATACATGAAATAAAGAAAATACAAAAGTTAGATATATTCTGGTTTTAAAATAATGGCATTCATACAGGGCATGATAAATCCATCATTTTGCTTTCCTAGTATCAATTCTTACCCAACTTTATTCATTAGAAAACATCTATTACTCAGACTCTGAGAAGATAGCTGAGGCTATAGAGATGTCAAAACTGGTCATATATTGCTAAAATATGTGCGTCTACAACAAGACACTTAGATTCTTTGCATAAACTGGTAAAGTTGCCTCATTAAGAAGTTCTGATAACCAATTCAACACAACTGTCACAATAAACCCTAACCAGGGACCACACACTTAATAGAAAAGGCCTTATTCCTCTTGGTCTGGCCACACATGGGTTTAGCATCTTTCTAGACACCAAGAGCTGATTCAGGGGTTATGCTTTCCAAATCTACAGTGCTACAACATCCCAACTGAACATCCATGCAACACATTACAATTTACATCACACTCTTCCAGCCTTTCTTTCCTGACTTATATTCTTTTTAGCTGAAGTAAACAAGAGAATGTATGCAGAATGATTCTCCCTTCACCTATAAAACAGCTTCTCAAGGAGGTCTTTATTATCATCAGGCATTCACTGAAACTAGACTAGGAGGTTGGAAATAAACTTGCAAAACAAACCACAATAAAACAGACAGACACAGCACAGGAAAAATAAATTAAAGAAATGATAAATTTATCAAGCAGTCACTATGATTTTAAATGTGTCCAGCCACACAGTAATTAGGAAAAGAGAGCTCATCAAATACAAAATAATCACCTGGTTCCCAAGGATGTATAGGCCATGGTTCATCTTTCAGAGGACATAGTTTACTTGCTAATTGGACTTTATCTTCATCAGAGACCAACTGCTTAATGAATGGGACATTTTCTTCAGAAAGATGCTCATCCCACCACGTACCACTCTTTCCATGAATACTTCTAACAAAAAGCCAGATGTGTGTTCTATAAAAAGAAAAAATAAAACCAAACCACAATTTTAAAACTTCCTCCATTTAATATAGAAAAGGGAAGTCACAAATTGGAAAGTGCAGTCAGGGCCTTAGGAAAGGGCTTAGATTCTGTATACTTTTTTTTCATGTCTCTAACCTTTTCTTCATCCCCACATTCCTTCGGATAAGGCTCACATTTAAACTGTTTGTCGTTACCCTGGAGAAAAAAAATTCATTTTCTCCTCGCAGATAAACAGATTCCCAAAAAAACAGTCCTACCTAGACAAGAGAAGCCACTAACCCATTTGGACATGTACCTTAATAGTTATACATTCAGTGGAGGTGGCAGAAGGTGGCATGCTGATGTTTGTCTAATAAGCTCACCTCCTCCCTGCAATGACATGGCCTAGGTTCAGAGAAGTAAAGAAACTGGGTGTGCAAAGTTAAAAGATCCACAAAAGGCATGATCTCTGAACAGGTGAACGTACCAAGAAAGACCTTAGTGGGTGGAGGTCAGGAAGAAGGGGTGTAATTCTTGCATGGAGGGTCAGAGCAGAAGTAAAGCTTTCTGCAGTCTACTCTCCTTTTGTAGTCAGGTAAATTCAGGTTAGATTCCCAATTTTCTACTTATTAGTTGAGTGACTTTGGGCAAATTAACTCACCTCTCTAACCTTCAGTTTTAACTGTAATCTTTATGATAGTAGTTTGCTCCCGTGAGGCTACATAAGGCACCTCATACACTTAGCAGAGCGCTCAGTACCTGGCAAACGCTCACTAATTGTAAGATATCATTGCTGTTAACAGCGTTCGCTGCTAGGGGCTGGCTCATAAGCGTTTTTTAAAAACCACCACTTTAATCCCCTTACAACGTGCTTCCTTAGGTTAACGGCCCTTATTCGTCTGTGTCCCACGTCTGAACAGAACCCCTTCCTCCTGCACCCACGGGAGGCCCAACTGCACCAGGCCATTCCACTGCTCCAGGACGCGGCTGTGCAGGCAGGACACCCTCACACCTTCCTACCTGTTCCCCGGGCCAAAGGCAGCACCCAGGCCGTCCCCGACTCGACCCAGCACCTGGGCGCCGACCTGGGTCAGCAGCCTCCAACCCGGCATGGATTAGCCCGGGAAGACTCGACTCACGACTTCCGGGCGCCCCGCCGCTCTGCTTTCAGAGCGTCCCCACGCCACCGCCACGCGGACGCAGCAGCCGTGGGGAAGTCGTCGCAAGGGTCACCGGAATGGTCTACGGCCGTTGCCCTCCGCGACGGAAAGAAAGCCGCCGGACCCACTTCCGGTGCGTTTTACAATGAACTCCGGGCACTGCAATCGCTCTCCGGAAACTATAGTTCCGCTTCCACCGTTGTCCTGCTTTGGATCTGAGTTGGAGTAGGTACGAGTGGGCGGGGACTGAATCGCCTCTCCAGGGGTAAAATAAAGGGGATGTTCAGAGTTTAAACTTTAGAATAATAAGGACAGACTTCCTGAGGACGCTAAGAAAAATGAAAACACTTGTACATAGTGCCCGTTGTGGGACAACTCATTATGCTAAGCAGCGCTTGATAATCTTATATTTGTTAATCATAAAAAACGGTCCTGAAAGGAAGTAGTTATTTTTGTATTATAAATGAGGAAACTGACTCAGAATTTAAGGGCTGGTCCAAAACAACACATCTGGCAGAGGAGCAGAGTTGGCACTGAAACAGGGTTGGCATGTGTTAGCAATAGACTACAGCCATAGAAATGATATATGACTTCCAGAGCTGGATCATAAAACATATTGTTACTTCAGTTTTTGTCTCTTGGATTGCTCCCTATGGAGAAAGCTAGCCGTCATTTCCTGTATACACTCAAACAGCTCTGCAGTGAGGAACATATAAAGAGGAACCAACTAGCCAGTCATGACTGAGCCACCTAGGAAGTGGATCCACCAGCCCTAGGCTGCAACTCGTGAAGACATTAAGCCTGAATCACCCAGCCAGGCAACTCAAGAATTCCTGACCAGGAGAAATTGCCAGAGAAAATAAATGTTTTTTGGAGTCATTAAGCTTTAGGGTAATTTGTGATGCAGCAATAGATAGCTAATGCACCTTCTCTACAAACAATCCCCTGTCCTGGGTTCCAGATACAGCCTAATCACCATCTATGTGACTAGGACATTTATTCTTCTACTAATTCCCTTATTTGTCAGATTACTGTTTGTAGAAATTTGGAAATAAGCACTTTAAAGTGTAGCTATTTCAACCTTCTCTTTTTAGTAGAGATCTGGCTATCCTGGCTTAACAGGTCCAGACAATGGTCAATTTCTGGCCACTACTTGGACTTTAGTGGGCTAAAAAATCTTTACTTTGCTTTGCTTGTCCATTCATTCCACTCATTGCTGTTGCAGTTACCTAAGACACTTTTCAATACTATTTTGAACCTTGAAGGAAAAACTACATCTCTTCATTCTAGCCATGCTGCCTGGCCTCCCAGATACTTAAGGATGGCTCTTCATTGAACAAACATGTTTTCAGGTGTGCTACATGCAAGAAGTTGAGAATAAGAAGACTTCTATGCTACTGCCAATAACGAACATTTCTTATCCATGTAATGTGCTAGAGTATGTGCTCAGCATTGTGGAAGCCCATCAACCAACACTACTAGGAGAAAACAAGAACTCATACAAAGTTGAGTTTAATTAGCTTGATGCAGCAAAAGACAGCATATGTCTGAGGATGTTTCCAAAAGAGTGACCTGCGAGGGGCTTGAAATGAAATTTGGACTTAAGGCTGAGTGATTTTAAGGTGGCATCAGAGAAGCAGGAGCTTGTTTTGGAATGGATGCTGTCACGAAGAAAGGACAGTTCAGAATTGGGTATCTTGATAATCTTTGTTCTAGAGACAGGAAGAACAGAGAGGAAGTGGGCATAATGTTTGTAAGAAAGCAGCAATCACTCAGAATAAGGAACTGTTAGTCATTTTGCAGCAGTGGTGTGATACACAGTATGGTCTATTAGAAATTTTGTAATGATGGGCTGGGCATGGTGGCTCACACCTGTAATCCCAGCACTTTGGGAGGCCGAGGCAGGTGGATCACAAGGTCAGGAGATCGAGACCATCCTGGCTAACACAGTGAAACCCCATCTCTACTGGAAAAAAACAAAACAAAACAAAACTAGCTGGGCATGGTGGCGAGCACCTGTAGTCCCAGCTACTCGGGAGGCTGAGGCAGGAGAATGGTGTGAACCCAGGAGGCGGAGTTTGCAGTGAGCTGAGATTGCACCACTGCACTCCAGCCTGGGTGACAGAGCAAGACTCCATCTCAAAAAAAAAAAAAGAAAGAAATATTGTATTGATGTTCTGCTATAAATACTGCAGTCCGGTTACTAACAGTATTCAATTTTACTCTCTCAGTATATTTTCTCACTTAAATGTTATAACAATCCACTGTGACAATAGTATAATTATCTGGATTTTACAGTTAAGAAAATAGGCATACAGAGATTACATAACTTAAATAAAATCACCCAGCTATTAACTGGTAGAGCCAAAGACTGTGACCATAGATAGAGCTTATGCTTTTAGAAATTTTGTTTCTTTGGCTCTCTATGACAAACATGTCACTACCCTTGCCTTGGAATTTCTTTAAGGCTAAAGAGGAAAATCAGTAAGTAAACATATCACACGCAGTGGTCAGTGAGGATTGAAGAGGTAGCCATTTGGTCTAACCTTTTCCCATAGTACTAAATATCTCCTAGTCCATAAGGAGGACCTTGACAGCAGGCACCACTGCTGAACTGAATCAAGGTAAAACATGGTTTGTCTGCTGTCGTGAAAAATGTGTCTCCTGATTGCCAGCCAGGGCTGAGCGGTGTCATACTTGATTTAGTCACTGCAATATGCTGCTAATTGACAGTTACCAGGCCCAGTTGTCAAGGGACCCAGCCTAAGCTTTTCTAGGGCAGCCAGGCACTGACCTAGAGCTTCCTGTTATTTCTGATGTCATCCTTCAGAAACTGCCTTAGACCCTGAAATTGTAATGCCATTTTGCCTCTCTAAGATTTCAATTCCTCATTGGAATAAAGATAACTTGCACCATCTCTTTTTAGTGCTACAATTCTATAACTCTTACTCCACTAATTCGGACCAACAGATAATCTCATAAACCTTCTCTTATTAAATAAAACATTAGGAATAGATTCATTTTTGAATTACTAAAGCTATGTTCAGTACAAGAGAATGGTCATAGAAGGAGTAGATTTCAAACCAAGAGTTCACTGAAAATAATCTTTTTTATGTGTTCCTGCCATTAGGCTCTACCATTAGCTCTTATAATGTTTGTGATATAACCTGTATAGTTGGATTATTGCAGGATGGTAAATTTTTTGTTGGGTAGTTTCCATTTTAGTATTCATTTATGCTGTCTCTTAGTTTATAACATACCTTATATTTGAAATTAGAAATCTTTTAAATAATGAGTTTGGATTTACTAAGTTATCCTTGACCTTCCTCCATTTTTCTAAAGTTGGAGGATCTAGCATATTTTGAAATCAGTGAAGATGTTATGAAGGTGAGTCAAGCATGCATTTGGGGTGTAGATAAAATGAACTTTAAGAGATTTTTGAACTTTAAGATTCCATTGCTGGCTGAAATGGAAAATTTGAAAGGCCGTATTGCAAACCCCACAGATACTCATTCAATAAGAGAATGAATTCTGCTTCAATGTCCTTCAGTAAGGTCAAATCACAATTTGTAACTTTAAAATATTGCTTTTAGAGCATAATTTTTATTTGTAAATTCCCAAGTAAGCCCACAGTCTTTAGGGTTCTAAGAGATGATCAGAATTAAAATTCATTTGGCTTGAAGAAAGCCTAAAAAATAGAAAAAAGCAGTATGGCCATGTAGTAATCTGGGTTTAAAGTTTTAAAACTTACTGTAATTATACCAATGGGCATTTTTTAAAGTTCTTTGATTACTTAGAAAAAATATTAGCAACAGACAATATAGCATCACATGCCAGGGAACTAATGCTTTCCAAAAGGATATCTCCTCCTCCCTGGTCTTCCTCGCAATGCCTTGGTGGCTAGAGTATAGCTCTAGACTGGTGGATACTCTGGTTACCTAGGATCATAATCAGAGCCTCTGACCCTTGCAGATACAGAATCTGGAGAAATTCTAGAGACCGAGTTCATTTAGGATTTTGATTCCACTTGGAGGAGGCCTGGGGGTTCCCAGAAAAATGGTAAATAACTACCATTTGCATTGCTTTTGCTTAGTGGCAGACATTGATCTATGTGGTTTCCATATATTTATTAACTTATTTAATCCTCACCTGTGAAGTGGGTACCGTTAGTTTCATCCCCATTTTACAAATATGGAAACTGAGGCACAGAAAAGATGAGCAGGTCATTCAAGCGCACAAACTTTACATTTGTTAAAGTGGAGCCAGGAGTTGAGGCCAGGCAGGCTGTCTACAGAGTCCAGGTGCTTAACTGATCTGCTGTACTGCCTCTTTCCTTAGAAGAGACAGCTGCATAGCACATTATTGGAACAGTCAGCTCAGCATCCAGAGAATGCCCCAGACCAGCAAAGACTGATGATGATAGTGCTAAGCCTGCATCTTTAGGTGTCTGATCAGTCTAGGTCAGAATCAGTCGGTCTCAAGAGAGAGTGATCAGGCCGAACTGCTTGAGATAGTCACCCATTCAATTCCTATGCAACCTCCCTGGAGGCTTTTCAGAGCCCACGTGATGTCATAAGCTAGTGATTCTCAACCCTGAATGTGTATGAGATTTACCTGGGAATCTTGCTAAAATGCGGAACCTGATTCATTAGGTCTAAGGTGGGATCTGAGAGTCTGCATTTCTAACAAGCTCAAGATGATGTCAGTGCTGACCACATATTGGGTCGCAGCATTCTAAAAAGGGCTGTGAACTCAGAGCCAAGAGACTTGGGATTCAATCTCAGCTCTAAACTTAATTAGCAGTGCGACACAGAGTAAATCACTTCACCTCTCTACTTGTTCATCTGTGAGATGGCAGAAAGCAGGGTTTGTCCAGCCGAGGCCTTCTAGTCTTCTAAGTGAAAGTCCTTCTGGAAGGTAGAAAACAATAGTCATATTTTTCTTCTTCTTCTTTTTTTTTTTTAGACAGAATCTTGCTCTGTCACCAGGCTGGAGTGCAGAGTCTCACTCTGTCACCAGGTTGGGGTGCAGTGGCGTGATCTCGGCTCACTGCAACCTCCACCTCCTGGGTTCACACCATTCTCCTGCCTCAGCCTCCCGAGTAGCTGGGTTTACAGGTGCCTGCCACCACGTCTGGCTAATTTTTG